ATGAATAAAAGGAATAAAAAGAAGAAGAACATGAAGAGTAAAAATTAAATTAGTTTTATGAACACATTTTTGGGAGATTTTTGATATTTTCAGTTATTGTTGTATTCATAATTTAAAGTTTGGCCTCGTTAAAATCATTTATGCGTTTCAAATTTTTTTGGAACTATAATTTCAAGTATGTCTTATTAAAACTTTCTTTTTTCTGTGAGTTTAAATATTCAATTAAATTAAACAACGTTCAATATAAATATTTTTAAAATGATGCGTTTTAATTTTATTTTTGGTGACAATAAATTTGGTACTTAAAAATCCTTTCCTATTTACGGAACAAGCTTTTAAAATTTTCCATTATAATTGTATAATGAAATTTAAATAAGAAAAGATATTTGCAGAGAATAAGAAGCGTGTGTTCTTCGAAAGGATATCCTTCTTGTACAATACTAGTAAAATAATTGCATAATCTAAATTTTTATGTTATTCATACAGCAATTATATTTCATTTCCTCTTTCATACCACACATACACACTCACTTTATTTTTGTCGATAAATCGATTGGAGACATATAAAAGCTTTTCTGCATAAATTGCTTCATTATTCCATTTAAAATTCGTCTCCTTCATGAAAATTTCATTTCAACAAGGATTCAAATTTCCTGCAATGACATCAAATTTAATTAAATTAATTGATTTGGAAAGAAAAGGGAGAATTGAAAGCGTATAATGTGAGGATGTATGAATATGAATGGTGTGAGTCGAACTACAAGAAAATGTTTTTCGGAGATGAAGAGGAGAAGGACATTTTGGGAATTTTCAATTTGCTTAGATTGAAAAAGGAGAAAAAAAATCTTTGGATAGAGTTGTAGGAAGATTGAGAAATTCACATGCAAATAGAAAAATTGTTGGGAATATTTTTTTTTCTTTGCATGATAAAAATCAAGCTTTTGCAGAAGAAAACTTTTTCCATTTAGATGCAATAAATTTCCTTTCATATGTTGAAGGAAAAAAGAGTAAAAAATGAAAATTGATATCTAGAGGATGAGAATAAGGAGGAAAAAAATCAATTTTGCTAAAATATCCATTTTCTAACCGAATTCCTTTTTCTCATTATTGACATATGCATGTGTTGACTATAAGATTCATGTAGATAACTATCTTTCTTTTACTATGCATCATTTATTATGATCGATGCAAAAAAAAGGAGAACAGGAAAAGCTCATATGCGAAGCACTCAGAGAAAATATTTTCTGAAATTAACTTTATTGTGAATCAAAATGAAGCAAAATAATAGCTGATTTATTATTAATTTGAACATTTTGTTAAGTATTTGTGAAAACTTTATATCTATTGCCAACACAAAAAATTTTATTTTTAACATGACGGAAAATTTATTTCATTTTGTTTTTGTTTCATCATGCATGTTGAAAGCATTCATATAGATATGAAAAAATTCCAATTGACCATGTCATCTATATGCAGCAACATAATGAAATTTTTTTCATCCACTTCTTCTCGTTTTTCTAGCCAACTATCTCTGATGCGAGTTGGAACAAGCAATAATGTTGAGGAAATAAAAGAAACTAAAAGCTTCTCATGCTACTTAGTTATAATGCACACACAATAAACATAAAAGCTACCCCCCATTCGATCGAAAGCCATCAACGATTGAATGAATAAATATAAATTTCTGTTCAATATACAATATAGAGAAAAGAATTCAATTAAGTGATTTATTTGAAAGAATTTTTAACTTTGAATAAAATTTTCCAATTTGAAAGGAAATATCCTTTTTTCTTCCTTTGCCATGCTCTTTCACTCCACAATGGCATTTTCAAATAAACATTTTACATTGAAAGGAAAGAAATAAACGAAAGGCAAAAATGTATTCGTGCTTTTTACTCATTCTCTGAGCTATTCTGCCTGTCGACTACTTTTTCTTAGTTTATTTTGTACCATGATTTCTGATACACCGATTTGAGGGGAACAATGGGCTAAAAGTGAGTCCTTTCTGAGATTCGACTGAGCTATTATAGCAAAAATATATAGAAAAACAGTTCTAATCAACATCTCAATTGATGACTCTTATCACAAAAATTACCAATGCATAAATCATTAATTATTATTATGTAACAAAAATGCGCTTTGTGAAACCACATCAATGAAGTCATTTCCTATAAATTTTTATATTATTTTTATTTCATTCCGTGAAAGGGATGAATTCAAGTCGAAAATGCTTATTGAAAAATAAACAATCGCAAAATGCTTTTATAAATAAATCACTTGTAAAGTACAAGTCAGGCAGCAGAAATTTCAATTTAAAATAAATCATCCCTCCCATTATTGCGATCTCTCTTGAGCTTTTTTTTTGTTGTTGCTTTGCTTCCATTCTACGTTCTGTGTTGTATCATTATTATGCTTCTTATAGTTATGTTTTTAGACGAAAAAAAAATAAGGAGGAATAGGAAAGAGAAAGGTGGTTACTTAAGGAGAAATTTTCTGTTATTATTCCGGTAAGTGAATGTGCATGCAACATTACCCAAAATTTCATTTAACATATTTCTGAAATGGGATAAAGTAAATGATAATGAATTATCCTCTCGAGAACTTTTTATTGCATTTAACTATAGAGAAAAAAAAGAATAACAAAAAATCTGCATTTATTTCTGTTCTGATCCAATAATTTACCAAAATGGCTTTTATGAAGCTTAATGGAATGAAATGTTTGGTGAAGTTTTTTTTTTCATTCTGCTTTTTTCCCTCAATTTTTTTTCATTCTGCTTTTTTCCCTCAAAGTTTTTTTCCCAACAAGCTTGAATAATGAAATGAAAACGAGTAAAATATTTTTGCACATGACTTGAATACCAAAAAATTGCGATTGCATGAATTTTTCACTTTTCATATACCGTAAACAATTTTCATAATTGAACAAATAAATGTTAAACATTCCATACTCTTTTGCCTCTTCTCGCTTCTCTTCAATTTTCATCATATCAATAAATATCATAAAATGATTTTCACATATCAAAAAACTCAGCTCACAATTTTTTTCTTGATAGACATTTTTTGCGCGCCCATGTAATGGTATTATATGTGTATATTCACACATGCTTCTGAAAATTTCAAAATAATTCTTACATTAGAGACGCACATACGATGAGAAATGAACGAAATAAAATAATAAAAAAGAGAGAAACAATTTAGAAAATTAAATTTCATTGTTGAATATGTTTTTTTTTCGTGGGGGTGTTTCAGCTGACAATACATAAAGCTAGCTCAACGACACGAGAAAAGGAGGATGAGAAGAAAGTCTATTAACTAAATTACTCTTTTTCTTCTTACGTTATTTTCTTTCTTAGTTGTACACATTGCCTTAAAGGAAAAATGGATTAGTATTATTGGTAGCCAATTCGCTTAAAAGTGACAAATATTTCAACAACTTTACTTACAATAAACAGACAATCAACATAATTACAAGTTATTACACAATTTGTAAACACATAATCTTGCAACGTCATCATTGCAGCACAATGACGTTTAAATTATACTTTAATAAGTCAAATTAAGTTACTGATGGTCCTTTTCTAATTGAATCTCATCATTGATAAAACGAATCTCTTTTCGATATAAAAATCATTTTCCTAAATTGATTCAATTAATTTCAATATTCGATTTAATTCTGGGAAAAATTGTTCTCAATTCCCAATTTGCAAATATTGTATAAAGCAAGTGAGAAGACGGAATCATTTACAAAATAAGCAAAAATAATCGCCGACAAACCTTAATAGGCGAAAATGTGTTCATAAAAACGAGAAACAAGAAATAAAAGGAAGAAGACGAGAGTAGCAGTGGAAGTAGAAAAAATTACCAGAAAAATAGAAGCGAAAATTAAATAAAAGTAATTTCTTCAAGTCTCAAAACTTTTTCTTCTTTATTCTTATTTTTTTGGTCAGTGAGAAGTGAAAGCCACCCCTTCTCGAGATGGCTGGTAAAAATTTCTACCCAAAATCCCAGAGCATAGAAGGAAAGGAAAATGGCATAATGAGAAAAAGACAAAAAAACAGTAAATGAAGTTTTTTAATTAAATCTGATTTATGGGCGATTTCCATTGACGTTACGTTCATGAGCCATAGAAAAAAGGTATTGTGTTCGCATTATAATTATAATGAAGTTGATGATGATGCTGATGGGATTTTTTTCCCCCCATTTCTTCTACCCTTAACATTTTGGAAATATCTGCCACCCTTCGTCCTCCTAAGCATTCATTATATTGCTCCTTTTTGTTTTCAGTCTATTTTTCTACAATAAATTTAATTTTTATTGTTTATAAATTTCAATTGTGGCGTGCAAACAAAATGCGCTAAAAATCACTTGTTGCTTTTCATTTTTTTTCGACTGACGCATCATAAGTTTCAATTTTCCTAACAATTTACATTCAAATAGGGAAGAAAACGTTTTGGGAAAGAAATAAATTCAGCATAAAACTTTTTTCATTTTCTCTTTCTCTTATTTTATTCTGTTTCTATTGCTTCTCGTTGCCCACCACCCTCAGTATGGTTTTCCCTTTCCACTCATACCACACAAACTTCTCATCCCACTTCCATTTTCCTTATGGTTATATTGCAGATTTAATTCAAATTTTTTTCAATGCTATTTTCGCATCCATTTAGAAAATTGTTTACTGATTTTTCTCTTTCCCTCATTCGTAGCTCTCTCACTCTATCCCTCTCTCTCTCAGATGAAATTCTCTCATTTTCCATGATTTTTCCATTCGGAGAAGAAAATTCTTTCATATTCGGATGGTAAAAATGATAGAAACACAACTTATTCATCGCATTGTAGTTTCGGTTGTTTATCAGAACGGTTCATTATTTTAGTGTTGAAAATTTATAAAGTCACATGCAATAGACAGGCAGCACATTATCCTTTTCACTGTCTGTTACTGAAATGTGAAAAGCAAGAAAGTTTTATAAGAATATAAATTGAATTTATACAGATAGACATTCACATGAAAAAAAAAAAAAACAAATTGTAAAAGAAAAGTTTATTGTGAAAATGGAAAGGAAATTTATCGACAATATAAAAGTTGATGTGTGAAGCAGTTGTAACGAAATAATATAAAAAAAAACTGTTAAGAATAAGAAAATTATTTAGTGACAGTTAAAAAAAGGGGGGAGTAGAGCAGAAAAGAGAGAAAAAACTTTTTAAATAACAGCAAAAAGTTTGTAATTTCAATTTGTGCAAATTGTTTCATTAATTAAACGTTTTGGCATTTTAATTAGACGACTGTGTGTCGTATATATACACTTAATACTTAGAAATGAATATAATATAAGAAGTACAGACATACAAATATATTCAAAATCTGTACGATTATAGCATAAACATACGGAGACACAAAAAGATACACTAACAGTGAGGAATAGAAGGCGATAATCAAGCTGAGAGTCTCAATGCTAATTAAGTAAAATATAATAGCAGATATAGTGAGAGTAGAAGGAGAAAAGAGCAAGAAAAAAGGGTGTCGTTACCGGAGTTAGTTGCTTAATTAATTAAATTGTGTACACGCCGTTTGTGTTATGGGAATAGCTGTATAGTATGATGGGGTGGCGCATAATAATCGAATATACTATGTGCTTTCGTACATATTGTTGCCTCATTCATACAACTTAACGAAGCTAATTTATCCCCACTGGAATAACATTTACACATCATTGCCAAATGGATTGTATTTTTCGTAATTTTCCTTCTGTGCAAATTCAATTAAAATGAGAAGCGGATTATTTGAATGAGTAGAAATTATATTATAGTGTAGAATGGTGGATACAAATCACAAGTGGTGTTGTATAGTGAATATGTTAGTGGGTTGAGTGCTATGTGGGGTTGTGTTTAATAAATAGCAAGCATCAGCAAGCAGAGCAACAGCAACAAAAAAAGGAAAAGAAGAGGAGGAGAGAAGAAAATAGAAATTAATTAATTAATGAAAAATACATGAACCATTCCATCTTTCTCTCATACTGTACATCATCATCGTCGTCGTCGAGTGTTAAATGTGTTTTTGTTATACAATATAGAATACATGCTGTAGATATTTAGACATTGAATTGGTGGTAATATAATATCACATTTCGTCATGACAACGCAAACCATTAAATGTGTGAATTCAAGAGAAAGATATATATACAAATATATGGCAAATTAAAAAAAATGTAATTTAATACTGATATCGAATAAACATCAATTAATTATCAAGCGATAAAGCCCTTAAGACAACAATAACAAGAAGGATTTTCTCTTTTATTACAAAAAATTATTTGTTGATGTTTTTTCTCTGTAAATCATAAGAGAACAGAGTGGGAAGAAAATATATATAATTAATTACAATTTACAAGTGTTCCTACTTATATCTTCTCCAAAATCATTAACTATCTCATTCATCAATCAATCAATCAATCAATCCATTGGAAAAAGAAATTATTTTTATTGAATTAACAAACACATTGTGATTATAAAAAAAAAATAAATGAAAATGGGATTAACGACACTTCAGCAGCAACAGCAGCAACAACCTAGTCAAAATCAACAACAGCAATCATCGGTAGCGACATCAGTGTCTGATATAACATCACATCACGGATGCACGGCAACTTTACAACAGACATGTGAGACATCGTCGTTATTACCAAAAGAATGTGCTGGCTGTGGAAAAAGAATAGTTGAACGATATTTATTGAAAGCCATAGACCTTCTTTGGCACGAGGACTGTTTGGTAAGTAAGAAATTTGTTTTCATTTTTTGAAAATGAAATAATTATAGTTAATTTGCACAAACTTTTTAAAAGTTTAATCTCGCATAAAATTAAATTATTCTTATTATTATATTTATTTATGTAGGTCTGTGGCTGTTGTAATGCAAGGTTAGGCGAAGTGGGCAGTAGTCTGTTTGTGAAAGCAAATTTGATATTATGCAAGCGAGATTATTTAAGACTATTTGGTAATACCGGTGCATGTTCAGCTTGTAATAAAATAATTCCAGCTTATGAGATGGTGATGAGAGCTAAATATAATGTTTATCATTTAGAGTGCTTTGCTTGCTTCGCCTGTCAACACAGGTTAGTATATTAAAGTATTTTTGCGTACGCCTACAAGTCAACTTACCTGCTGCCATTCCATATATGTTTACATTAAATTCCCATAAATTCAATTTGAGTGATGACTTATGAGTGAGAGAGAAAAGTCACATTTACAAATTGGATAAACATATTCCAACATCCATAAACTCCATCCACCATCCATGTCACTATGTCAAAGCAAATGAAAATTCTATGAATTACTGAACTTTCTTCTTTTTCTTCTCCTTATTCTTCACATATAGATTTTGTGTTGGCGATAAGTACTATTTATGTGATAACAAAATTTTATGTCCATACGATTACGAAGAGCGACTTGTATTTGCTGGTTTGGCAGATAATCCGACAAATTTAGCACATATGAAGCGTCAATTGAATAATTTGCAGGTAATACTTTTTTCATGTTTTTAATGTATTTTACTGTTGTTGTTCCTTTATATATATATATATTTTAATATAATTCAAATGTCAGATTCAAGCACGAAAAAAAGTTGTGCTGTATGTAAAGTCAAACTGACATAAAAGTAGATTGATGTAAGTCCAATATCCTTTTCCCTTCTTCCTACTCTTTCTCTCTCACTCTCATTCAACTCCAAAAAACCGGCAAACATAAAATTTCCATTAACATAAAGCTCAGGGAAAAGTTATTTCATTCATTTCTCGAGAGTGAGTTCGGAAAGGAAGAGAAAAATGGGAAAAAAAGAAAGTTTCGACAAAATCGAATTATTCTCGTACCGAAAAACGCTCTTTGCATTGCATGATATTGTTGTTGTTTGTCGTCTCCAATATACATTTCCATCCAATCCATTTAAAGCATCAAGTGAAGTTTATCGATTGAAAATTGCTAATAGAAATTTATTTTCTATATAAACATGTGCTTTGAGCAAATATAAATTCACTTACTTTGATGATGTTGATGATGATGATGACGATAATAATGGTGAATGGTTTTCTATATGCAGTGCATTGAGCTTCTTGTGCTTGTTTTCGTATTTATGTTTACTATCATGTTCACATTATTCTACTGAAATTATAGCTTTATTGCTCCTTCAATCATTTTTATTTAACTACCCTAATCTGCAAGTCTTCAATTCAATTACAATAAATAATTAAATTCATTATGAATGAGCTCATTAGAAGATAATAAGGCGCAATTAGAACGAAAGTTATTTTTGATGAGGGGAAAAGCTTTAAGGAGTATTTTATTTGAGAATGCTTGATGCAGAACGAATTTATAATGAACTTACATCTTTCTAATGTTTTGTGTAGGTGTAAATACATCAAATTAATTGGGTATTAACTTTTTTGTTACAAACAATTCCAGTTGGAATTACTTGTAAGTGTGATATATTTGAGGAAATTTCTGAGGAGACAATTAAGGCTTCATAAGCACTTTGAATACAAAATTTTTCTACTAGATACAAAGTTAATTCTCATTTTAATAATATGAATTAAATATTTGATTAAAATTTGTACTTGTATTCATGGCAAGATAAACTTAAAAACAATTTGGATCATTACCAAAATTTTGGAATTTATTAATTTTTGTCTAGACATCAAGCTATGCTAATGAACTAACATAAATGTTGTTGCTTGATCAGCATCACAAACATTTATAATTAAAATGATCAATCTCAAAGTTTCTATAAAATATAAACATTTTAGGTTTTTAACACCTTCTGTAAGAGACTTAGAAAAACTTATATTTAAAGGTCTGTCTCGAAATAGTTCAAATATGAATTTTATCCCGAAAATAAAAATTAATAATCTTTATTTTAAGCTTCATTAGAAGAAAATCTCACACGTTTATTTACATTATTCATTAAAAATATTCAAATTTAAAATAAATAATAAAATCCTCTTCCTCCCTTATTTATTCTAAAACTTGTAATCATTGACTCATTCAGCATATATTCATTCACATTTCCATAAACATAATACACGAAATTTCTCCTTACCACAATAAATGTTTGTGATGTATATGTGTATATTCTATTTCATTTGTACACGATTTTGAATAAACTTTGTAATTAAATTAAATTTAATTAATTACTTTCATGCATGTTTTCCATGATATCTACCTCCCCATATTCGCACACAATTGTACATATACGCAAAATTCTATACAAAAATGCAAAATGTAAATATGAAATTGAAATTAATTTCAAAATATGTTTACTGTCAAGGGGTTGTCCATACACTCAATATTCATTGTTCTAATGCATGAGAAAAAAAAATTGTATAGTGAAAAAAAAACGTGGACAGCATGGGAAATAGTTCTTCTCCTTATTTTTTATTATAGACATTTTGGAATGAGATGATGGCAATAAAATATATGTTTGTATCAGTAATGGCATAAGAAGCACAGTAATAATAAAATGCTTTCTCTAAATGTTTCTTTTCTTGCGAATATGTTCATGCTACTGGAATGCTTTGCGAGCGGAATGAGAAAATGAGAATAGTAAAACAATTTCTATAATTATATTTTGCCATCAAATATCTTTCTAACACCCTCTAAACAATAAAAGCACAATGTAAATTGTAGATGGGAGAAAGGGGCATTCTTGTGGGGATCGTGTGTTCATTACAATACGATATGAGTGCAATGTAGGATGAGGAAGCAGTGTGGGAAATTCCTATTACATAAATTAAATTTTTTCTTTTTGTGCGAGGTCTGTGAATGGGTGAATTTGAGAAGACTGAGAAGAATGATTCGAGAGAGCATCGGAAGCAATTTCGTAGAAGCGAAAAGAAAATTCTGTTTTTAAAATATTGTTCCTTATTTCCTTTTCATTTTGTATGAACATACCTTTTATAAGCTTAATGTGAATTCATCAAGTGAAAAAAAAACTTATGAAGTTGTCTAAATTGCTGCCTGCAATTCTCAAAGATAATTTCTGAGTCGGTACCTTTTTAGCGCATTTTTGAAACTTATTTCTAAAAGGTAGCTTAATAATACACTTTGTTCGGCTGTTCGGCTGTTTGGCTGCTCGGGCGAAGAAAAACTTTTTAACTAGACATCGTAGAGAGCTCGCATTTGTTTAATTATCTCCGTTACTATCAATTTATCGGCCCATCGAATGCTTAAAGTCTTGAAACAATGTGTTTATGCTATAATTAATGAATTTTTGTTTTGTTATCAGTGAAACCTGCCCAAATTTTATTTTACCTCTATAATTTCAAATTTTTTCCAGCCGTTGTAAAATTTTAATTTCAAAAAACCGTTAAATGATAAATCTTTTCTGTATGGAAATTCATTGCAACAAATTAATAATTAGATAATCAAATACTGATCGCTAACACAAAAATGCGCTTAAGTCCCTCGATCAATAACACGAGGACTTCTGTAATTTTTTAAATTCCTTTTGCTTGTATTTTCAACCTCATTAATAGTTGATGAGATCAAAATAATGATTATTATTATTCATTCAGTATTTTACTGATAATTAAAAATAGAAAAAGATAAAAACTCAAAAAAACATTATTTTTAAATACCAAAAATCAAAATTTTTATTCCTTTTACAATCAATTCAAAATAAAAATAAAAGTTTGGAGAATTAGAGCAATTTTCATTTGCTTGGATCTACTGTGAGACATTAATCTTTAAATGTTTCATAATAAAATTCATAATACTCATACCAGCTTGATTCTCTTCCCCTCCTATATCTCCAACTGCTCTTTTTGCCTGCTTCTAACTCCTCAACATAATTCATTATAACATTTCACAACCATGTGCCCAAGACATGAAGGAAAATAAAATTTTCTTTAGCTTTTTTTTTTGAAAAACAACATTAATTGAAGAAGTAATCAACAAAGTTTTACTCATATTTAATGGGTAATGTTTTTGTTGCTACTCCTTAAGAAGAAGAAAATAAGAAGAGAATAAGCTGTACACGAAAGATGAAGAAAGAAGCAAAAAGAAAAATGAACAAAAATGTTGTTTTGTTGGTAGAAAATTGTTCATTCAATTTTATTTACATTCATCTCACTCCACGGTTTCAAGCATGGCAGAGGGAGCAGGCAAGTAAGCGAGTAGAGCAGAGCAAGCAAGCGAGCAAGAAGTTTATATTCCCTTGCAACATTTCTTTTTTTTCGAAAATTAAATGGAAAATTTATAATGATGTTGGTTTTTGGTTTTTCTTCCTCATCATCATGCGCATCCTCATTCTTCTTCCGTCTCAACTCGCCTCACAGTACATTTTATTTGAATTCCTTTTTATTCGAAATAATTGAGTTTTTATGTCTAATAAGCCTCGTTATAAAATGACATGCTCATCATCATCAACATCATTATCATCATGAATTTGATTCTTTACCCTCATTCATATACAGTACATTGTACAGAGTACATAATACATTCATGTCTTTCAGTATCTCTGTTTTTCTTTGTTAGTCAATATAATTCCTCTTTATTTCTTTGGGGTCCTTCAATTATGATATCCGTCAAAAATATAATTTTAGACCCCCCCCCCCCCCCCTTAGAAACAAAACTTCTCACATAATCCTAGACCCATCCTCCACCATTAAATGTTTGACGTCATTAGTGAACAGCCCTGTACTTCTTTTATTTATGAAACATTAATGCGGATTAACGCAAACATCATCAAACAAATTTTTTGATATTTCTCAATAATGAAACTAAGATAATTGTTTTGTTCTAGCCAGTCACAGAAAGTCGAAATAACAGCATGCCTACCACTTCGAGTCTAGCACGATTTGGACCAAATGAGCACGAACATGCCACCACAAACGACTCATCAATAAGCATTCATCGTATACGACCTGATAGGGATGACGCATCGAGTGGTTATGACTCACCAGATGATTCAGAATCATTTGAGAAGCCACATCAGCTTGTCCAACAGCAGCCGTCATAAATTGTGTATGAATAATAATAACAACGAGGTTTTTCTTTATTATTATTATTTTATGAAAATTTTCTCTACAAATTTTCCTATAATATTACCGTCGTCCATGGGAAAATTAGCAAATTGCTAACCACAACCAACATACAAATCAGTCGATCTCTTATTATTATTTTAACGATGGTATGATAACTGTAATAACAAACTTCCATTTGAAAAGGAAATAATTATCGATGTAAAACATTCTTTTTTTTCTGTTCGAAGGAAAGACATTTTGTCTTTGAAAAGACAAACAAAAATTTTAATTGATTCATGAGAATGTATCAGTACGATGAAAAAATATATTAGGTACATAGATAAAATAATGATGAACGATTTCAAAAGAAAAGAAAAAGCTAAGAAAAGTAAATAATAAAATCTTTTTAAAAAATATCAAAATACTGCAAAATTAGTGGAAAAGTGAATGAAAACTTATTTTTTATTTTTGTTATTTCATGTATAAAGCGAAAAAAATATTAAGAAATAATAAAAAAAATATAATGACAAAAATGAAATAAAATCGAGTGTTTGACTTTTTGATTCAAGGCTCCTACAGATTATAATCTTTTAAAAACGAAGATAATAATCTTTGTACCGTTTTCAAACGGTAGGCAGTGATAGAACCAGCTTCAGGCGCCATCTAAGCGAAGCCATGGATTACAATTGATCTGTTTGGCCAGGAAAGTAGAAGAAGAAGAAGAAGAAGTATGAAGATTATAATCTTCAAAAACGAAAAGATTATATTCTTTGATAATCTTACATTCAAAGATTATTGATTATCTTTAAATATAAAGATTTTAATCTGTGGGAACCTTTTGTTGACTAAACAGCATCATTAAACATTTATTGAGATATCCACATTAAAAACTATAAGTCGGTTAGAAATGACTAATTTAAGATAAATTTTAGAGCAAGTAGATATTTTGAGTGACATTATGAAAACACAAAAAGTCTGGTGGGTGACAACATATACAATAAAATTTTCAAAAGAACCATTTAAAATTCGGCACATGTAACATGTAACTATTGTATTTATTCATAGACTATTATTCATTATTTTCTATTAATACATTTATAATTCACAGAAACATTTATTGTATGACACTTTTATTCAATTCATAAATCTTATATAATTTCTATTTTAAGGAAATAAATGTATGCTATTATTTTATTTCGTTGACTATAACGGCATAAGTCTTATATCATCTTATATTGCATAAACAACATGTGCAAATTTTTCAATCTTATAAAAACGATATTATGAAGATTTGAGATGGTGTTACTCAGTGGAAACAGAATGTCTTTGACTTATGATTTATTTAGGATTGCATTAGATGTCATCGCAACAGAAGGTGAGTGAAGCTGTTATCACAAATTTCGTACTTTTCTAACGATCGAAAATGTTATTAAAATTAACACTGATTATATCATGAAAACTTCTTATGGATATAAAAAAAGGCATCCAATACTAAACTTGCAAAAATGGAAAATAAAATAAAATGAAAACAAATATGTATATATTGGAAAATGTATTGGTAGAGAGAATGTAGAATGAGTCAATTGACAAATGGTACTCGCTTGATACAAGCTTATGTGACATACATTTTCCATTAGCATAACTTTCATCTAGTAAATGGCAATGTAATTTTATTCAATTGCTTTCTTTTTCTACAATTTTTTTCCTTCTTTCTTCAAAGATTGAAAAAATCCCTGCTCTTTCGGTTGTTGCCATTCTTTTCTCTCTCTTTTTACTTTTCTCTGTTACTGCCAATATTCCTAATCCATTTAAAAACATCAAGTAAAGTGAAGGTATATTGATTTGAAATTGGTAATGGAATTCAATGTTTCGTAGAAGATATTGCCAATACTTTAGTTCACTTTTATTCTTTCCTTTTGCTTGCTGTTCGACACACATTGAATTCGATTTTAACATAAAAAGAAGAAGAAAAAAAAAACTGAGTTATTTATATAAAGTTCATACATACAATCATTTGGATGAAGGACCCCCTTTTTCAATTTTTTTTTCTCTCCTTTATCCTTTTCGTTGCCTGCCTTTTTCTCCATTCCACCTCATTCCAACTGTATCGGACAAAAGCAATCTTCGAATAGAAGAGAAAAAAAAATGGAAAAGCTTATTACAAATTCATTCAGTAGAAGATTGAGTGAGTGAAAGAGAAAGGACGAGAGATGTAGTGATGATGGAATAAAAGCTCATTCCTCTCCATCTGTTGTATGTTTGTTTTGGATAGACGAATACGATTATTATGATGATGATTATGATGATGAAATGAGGCAAGTAGCATGAAATAAAAAGAGTATAAATGAAAGCTGTGTGAGAGGCGCTTCCAATATTATTACATATTTAAATTTGATTATAATATATTGAAAATAAGTATCGTTATTTATGTTAATGATATTTTGTAAAGCATCTGCTGAATTTTAGAAAGGATTTTTATTTTAATTTTTTTACTTCCAGATTATCTATCATCTTTTGGGGGTTCGACCGTCAATGATGGAATGGATTCTTCTCTGGTAATTAATTTTAATACCATGTTTAGCCACTATAACGGAATAAACAATCTACATTACTTGTATTATCATATTTTTATTTTTAAAATCATATCAAAACAAAATATCAATGCATATTATACTTGAAACTACAAATTTATATTATAAACATCATTACGCTCTTTTGAACAGTACAATACACACATTGTATATATGAGTGAACAGACGATATAAGTTGAGAAGAGGGGGTGAGTACACATATTGAAAGTTCAATTTGATCAAATTTAACTCGTTGAGTAGTGTGATGTATATAGTGATAGATACTCTCATGCATATTGAAATCAATATTTTATGCTTTTATGAATGCAAACAAGCAGATATGAAATAATTTAATATCATATCATGCCTCAGAGGGACAATTTTGTGTGTATGTTCACAATTTTCCGAGGCTATATGACTGTGTGTATATGTACACATTGTTGCAGAAATGATGCAAGTGAAGCTACTATTATTATGCAGTCACTATCAAATAAGGACAATCGTTTGATGATGAAAAAGCGTGGAAAAATTATGATGATGATGAAAAAATATTGAACATGAAAAGCACGTGGGAGTGAGTAACGACTCTGAATGCGAGGCATCAGAGTCATTATACATTGAAAAGCTGTTAAATTGGCTCATAATTCATCAATGTTCATACACAAAAGTAGTGTATATATTCATTTTTGCCAATCACGCATGAAAACAATTGAGATTATATATATGGCGATAAGAGAGACACAATTTATAGTATGAGAATTCCTTTTCATCCAATCTGGTCATAAAAGTGCATTCAAAAAAGAGAACAGCAGAAAACTGATTTATTAGCAGCACCTCAACATCATCAGTCTCATTCCACTTATCATTTCATTATTTTTCACATGTAAAATGATTTTAATTTTCAGCTACATTTCGCTGCTATAGACTGAAAATAAAAAAAGAACAACTCTCATTCTCTACCCTATCTCCATTACCGTCTATTTTTGCCCACTCGTGTACATTCAATTCATTTCATTTAATTTTACAATAGGCAATGGGGCATGAAAAGAATGAGTAGAGTTGGTAGTATTAAAATGGGTAGCAGGGATCATAGTTGATAATTAATAGTTGCAGTATCATCGTGATGATGCAGTATAATTAAAAACAAGACAGAGTAGAAACGACGACGACGATGACTGAAAAAAGGAGAGAGTTTTTGAACATAATTGCATTCCCTATAGCTCTGCAATATTTATTGCTTCCATATGTATGTATGTATGTATGTATGGATGGATGTAGATATTACTATAGAACTTTTTAAAAAAAATTCTCACACATCTAAAGTAATAAGCTTCCTTCATTTCTATGCTTACATATACATAAATTTATGTATACATTCAACTAAATGAAGTTCATAATTGAGAGAACATCAAAAACGTTTCAATGAAATTCTCATGATGCACATAAATCATAAATTTTTCTACTACAATGCACTAATTGGCTTAACTCAAATAGCTGAATTATGAACATGGGAGTGCTTTAGATGAAAAGAAAAAAAAATCATATTTACTGAGGAAATTTTTCTGCATTTTATTATAGAACGAATTCAAATTATTTTCCTTTCTTTTTACATACATTCTGCTTATGCTTATTAACAAGAAAATAAATTAAACTGTGCCAAGCATTTGTAGTTCTGGTTGCGGCATAACAACCGTTGATGCAATCAATGGTTTTGCTAGTTTTTCCTTCACAATTAAAACACGGACTATTGAGTTCTCTAGAGTCATATCGGCAGGTAGTGTATTTTCCGATGTTAATTGTATTCTTACGGTAAAATCGGCAACTAAGGGGATACCTAGATGGATGACAGATATACTAATTTAATTATCCAATTATTATTCATTTCCGTGTTGCACTTTACAATTTGTTTTTTTCATTAATTTCACTTGGGAATTCAATTTAATTACCTGGAACCAATGGTGTCAATTCAGCATACATTTTTTCAATTTTATAATGATTTGGATTGGCATGCAAAATTATTGCCAAATTTGTGATTATTTTTGTTGCAGAAATATTCTCTAAAGTCAAAGTTAATAAGAAATCTGGACCCAAACCATCAACTTGTGCCTGACATCAAAAAATAGTTTATCGTGTTAAAAGTCAAAGCTCAAAATGTTCATAAACTCACCAACAACTTCAATGGCGTCTGTAAATCTCCAGAAAATGTTGAATCGCCAGTTCTTAAAATATCAACTGTCACTTTTGCTGCTTCTAGACGCATTCGCCATAGTTCACTTTGAAAAATGTTATGAATAGCTGCCGCATTTTCTCGTTCACGTTCCATTTGTTCAAGAAATATTTTTGATTTCTTTGGAATACTTAAACTTGTTGATTCTTCTTCATGTTTATCTTCAGTCTCTATTGGCTTTGAAAAATCAGCAGTCCTTTTGAGGATTTTTATCAGTAACGAGCCGTCTAAAAAATATGCTTATTACTAATTGCATGAAAATTTGTTTTTAAATAAAATGCATACTTCTTGTTACTAAAACAAGTACTTGCTCTTCCAGTCCAAGTTTTCCAAAATACATTGCCAGGACAGATCCATTAATTTGAAATTCGTCTACAAGTTTTTTGTGTGAGTAAAATTGGACTAATCCATTCGACAACGCAATGCATACCTTTGTTCAGTAGTAATTGAGAAAAGTAATGTTTTATTAACAAAGTAGTTACAAATGCATTAGAAATTGCATAGAATCATATCGACAGACAAACAGTTTTACAAACCAAATACTAATAAAGTTGTATATCCATAAAATTTCATTAAACCTCAAAATACAAACATTATGTTTGAAATTAATTTTATGAAAATTTTACCAATGAAACCCCTAAATGTGGTAAAGAGACAGGCGTCAAGCATGTTACAGCCTCAGGCATATTCAATGACCACAACATTTTTCCTTTCTTCGAATAGCACATAAGTGAATTACTCAGAACGACAATTGTTTGATCAATTTGCAGTAATGACATAGACGTTGCTGGTTTTTCCAGTTTGACAATTTCACGTCCCTCAAGCCATCCTTTTCTGAGTATGCAAATTGAACCTTCACGAGATGATATGATAATTTTGAAGTCGTTTTGATAGGATCCACTTGCTGAAATTAGATCCGGTGTTGCTTTAAAACTACAAACACGGGCTTCGTGCAGAATACTAAAATTTTGCGGATCCATAATGAAAATATCACTCGCTTCTGTGGCAATAATTAAGCAGTTTGGTTCTTTTTCTTCCTCTATATTCTTAAAAATTGTTGTCATGCAAACAATACCCGATAATCTTTCGAGTTTCGGCTCTGAATTTTCTCGTATAAAATCTTCTCGTTCAGATTCACATAACGATATCAATTTTTGAGATAATGTCGACATTTGTGAAATGTTCATCGTCGATTTAAGATCATTGATTAATTTTTCATAATTTGCCTGTCGTTCAACTGACAATTTCTTCCATATTTCCTCCTCGAGTGGTTCAATCATCAAACTCGGCATTGTATATTTGAAATATGGCTTCATATTTCGATAGAATAGAATTGATGGTCCAACACTCACCGCAATTACTGGAAATATACATGAAAGGAAACGATTTTAATTCAAAATTCTAATTGAAAATCAATTTTAATGTAATTTTACTTGGCATTTTTGGTTCAATTTCATCAATATAAAGGCTTTGTACAGAACTCGGAAACCCAGGAAGTGCTTGATCATTTACAACTTGATTGCCTTTATAAACTCGTAAACGTGCTGGTTTAGGTTCAAGAGATAATGGAACTTCTGCGGCAATAAGTTTGTAGTAGCTGTCACATCTCAAATCGCATACAGTCAGACAAGATGATATTGTAGTGAGACCTGCTGTGCCATCAGAAAGTGCATCTAGCCAATGACTGCTTTTCCTATTTTATTTAAAATCAAAATCAAAATTTTCGAATTAAGTTTTATAAAACATTTACTTTTCCTCCATTTCCAATTGAAATTTTTAAGTGAGCAATGTCTCAGATTCAGTCTATAGTTAGACGTCCTTTGGTTGAATTTAATACTTTTTAAAAAATTATGAAATAAATTGACAAAAATATTTGAAATAAAATTTTTCTTCAATCTTTAAAGCAGTTTTGTTGATATGCTTAGTGGTTGCTAAGTTACATCCATAAAGCAATATTGCTCTGTTTTTTGTTTACACACAAACAACACATGATATGATTGTGCTCTGAATCCACAAGTGGTCTTGATTTAACATGAAACTTTATGTGTGTATTTTGGTAGGTATTTTAAGCTAAATCTAGGTTTAATTTATAATCATAATGACATTCTTACATATTTATTTAAACATTTAAGAAACTATATAAGTCAGGGGTGTATCCAGACATTTTTTCAAAGGGTAATGGGGGGGGGGGGGGGGTGAATTTAAAAATCTTTTGTAGGTAAAAAATCAAAAAATCAAAAACAGATTTTTTTTGGATTTTTTATCGAAAACCCTTGAAAATTAAAGAATATTCGGAGACGGGATTCCCCTAATCCCCCTTTGGCTTTGCGCCTGGTTTGCGAGCTTGTTAAAATATTCTAAGAACTTAGATTAACTCATTTATATTCTATGTTGAAATTTTTTGACACGAACAATAATCACAAAACAATAAAATTTATCATGAAAATTTTTCTAAACTCGACTCATTCCAAAATAAACACACGCACTGAATGGTGTTTCATACGCATTTCATAAAAAAACAGCTTATTTCGCATAAAATAATGAAATTGAGCTATCATATCGCGATTTTAATTAAATTTTTTTTTTCACGAATATCATACAATACAAACGCGACCGAAAATTAATTCAAATGTCAATCAAGTTGATGATTGACGCACAAGAGAGAAAAAAAATCTACTGGTACTGAAAATTTGTGAAGGCATATTCATGCAACAAACGAGAAAGGAATGTTGAAGTATGAGACATATTCAAAAAAAATATTAAATTGAAAAAAATAATCCAGCAGGCAAATGGCAGTTAGGCACAAAAATGGAGTCATAATTTACCTTCTGTCATCAAACAATATGAGCATATGAGAAAAATGAGTGAAATGACATGAAAGTGGCGCACACAAAAAAGGAAAATTTTCATGTCATCGTCATATGATATGTATGTTATTAATTTTTGCCATTTTTTTTTAATTTACACACATACAAAACATATAAAAATTGAAATATAAACAAAAAAATGTTGCAGGAACAAAAAAAAGCATCGAGTGAGATGAATGGAAAATTGGATTTTTTTTCTTGTGCTTTTTTTAAGAGTGTTGTTTTTATGAGTGAGTAAGGATGATAGAATTTGAAATTTATTCAATGTTATGTGTTTCATGATTTTGTAGTTTTTGTTGTGTTTGACAGAAAAGAAGATGTGGAGCAATTTTAATTAAATTTTATTAGAATCTTTGACAAGTTAGTAGGGTAATATCACCGAGGATAGAAATTTTAATGAAAACATGTTCTCGTTAACTTATGAGATTCTTTGATATTATTTAATAATTTATGGATGGTTTCCTTTTTTGTTGAGAAAGTTTTATGCTTAATATACAAGTATGGGAATGTCATTATTTAAAGCATAATTGTCTTTTGTAATTTAATTTTGTAAATGAATTTTCACTCCAAGAGTTTTAATTAAAAATTTTTTAATTCATTTGTCTGTCATACAAATTATTTTATAAGTTTTTGTATTCGTTTACAAATTTTCTAAAATAATGTTCAATATTCAGTAAGGAGTGGTTTTGCCTTAATTCAAAGATTCTTGCCGCGATGAAGACATTCAAATACTCGTATTCCTAAATATACAAGAACCAGCCTCGATCACCAAATTTTGAATAAACAAAAATTCAAAGCTCTAAGTCTACTCGAGTTGACTCAAGTCGAGCCGATTTCTTCATACACACAGAGTCGAGTCAACTCGAACCCTATCAACTTCGAACTCTGCAAAATTAAAATCACTTAAAAACAAAAATTGAAAAATTTTGTGTGAATATGAAAAAAAAAAAAGATTCTAAAGTTGATTTATTAATTTTGTAAAACTACTTTAGGACTCGTTTACTTATTACGTCCAACATTTAGGGAGGGGGGGGGGGAGGGTGGTCAAAAAATTTGTGACATATTGTGACAGGGGAGGTAGGGGGTTCATCCAATTTTTAAATCAGGAAAATATAATTTTTTTGTGTCTTGTGTCTTGTGTCTTGAACGTCACAAGAAGGGGGGGGGGGGGGGATAAAAATTTAAAAAAGTAATTTTTGTAATAAATTCATCCAAAGAATTATTTCATTTTTCAAAAATCACTAAAGAGCATGAGAAAAAGTTTCAAAGAAAAGCGGCGTTAAATCTTTTTTATATCCTCAAAGAAGAATTTTTCAATTTCAAGTCAACTTTTTAATTTAACCCAAGATGAGATAGAGAATAAGAAATAACAACTAGACGAAGAAGAGCGTAGAAAAGAAAATATTTTTCATAGTAAATAAATTTTATGTTGAACATCCCAGTTTTAATGTAAGTAACTGAAAAGAAAGAAACTTTTATAAAATTTATACATTCAACATTCAACAACATCTACTTACAGTGCACACAAGGAAAAAAATAATTAGAAATTTCTCATCCAAAAAATAATTGAAAATTTTTGCTGTTTTCCTTCTCTTTCTTCATCATCATCATCTAAAGCTCTATTACACTCTTCCCATACTTCTTGTTCTACTTACAATGAACTCTCATCGCAACCATTTCGAGAAATTATAATTAATTAATTTTAATTACACTCTCTTACAATTTCCAATTATAATTTTTAATTAGACGCCGTTGGATGCAAGCGTATTTTTCACCACATTTTCTTTTCTTATTCTCTTCTTTCAGCTCCACCCTATCTACCCTGTCTCATACTTTAATGACTCATACTCAACTTCATCATTTTCATCATCCACCTACATACCTATACTTTTTTTTGAAGAACAACAAATAATAAAACAAGAAGAATCTACGTCTACATTATTTTATACTTGATGAGAGGATGAGAAGAGGAACAACATATAAAGCAGTGCTTCTTAATGTATGCTTTTCGACACGATACCGAACTTCTGGTTTACAAAAAAACACAAAGCAACTCAATAAATGTAAACTTTATTTGTCCTGGTCCAAAAAGTTTGAGAACCACTGATATAAAGGCAAAGTAAAAAAACTTTTTCCATTTTTCCCTTCAGTTCTCTTTTTATTTCAATTTCGGTGGCATTCCAGTAGAGGAAAGAGCATAAATGAATGAAGGCAGATAGAATCCTTCATTCTAACTTCATTACGGAATTTGGTCGTATGAAAATGAGCGGAAAATTAATTTCTGTTTTTCTTTTATGGATTTTAATGTATTGTTCATATACACAACTTTGTATTTTTAATGTCTTTGAATGGGGACTGATGTGCTAACTGACCTGTTTAAAAGTTAAGTGGGTGAAAAATGCATTTGAAAATGTTTTTATTTTCTCTGTTTGTTCTTCCTCTTCTTTAATTAAAGTCTGTAATTAAATAAAGGAAAATAAGAAATTGTTTTTATGATCACAAAATACGGACGCATGAAAAGGATTAAATGTTTTTATATTTTTGCCTGTTCTGGTAAGTAGCAAAATTTATTATAAGTTCATTAATTAGCGCTTTTTTGATTTTCTGCATTTTCAAAAATTTTAAACAACGACAGTTAGATCCAGAATATTTTGATTCCTAATCGAGCTTTAAATTGACTTGTACATCAAAATTTTTATCAGCAGCAATTCAGATCTGATAGAGTTGATCTCGTCCAAATTAAAACTTGATGACCTCAACGAGAAGTCATGAATAGAAATTAATGAGCATCTGATTCACCCTAATAGGCAAAGAGCATGCTCACAAATTTGAGCACATGCAAGAGCATACTCAATTATAGAAATTTATGTGCTCAAATGAACATACTCTCATGAGTACATAATGAGTAAAAAAACGTAGTATACTCAGTTGAGTACATTCATTGAGTACGCTCTCTTACATACTCTAAGTACATCAACATGGTACAAAAAATTTTCTTTATGTGCTCTCTTGAGTATACTTATTGAGTATGTCCTCTCTCACATTGTGAGTATGACAAATGTGAGTGTAATTTCAAAGACAGTATACTCTCGTCAGTATACTCTTCAAGTGTACTCAAGAGCATATTCAGAGCATATCTTTCTGATAATTCACATTTAAATACATTATGCTCATCTGAGTACACTTTCTGAGTGCACTCTCAAATGTACTCTGAGCACGTCTTTGTAATAAGTTTATGTAAGAAACATTATGCTCATCTGAGTACACTTTCTGAGTGCACTCTCAAATGTACTCTGAGCACGTCTTTGTAATAAGTTTATGTAAGAAACATTATGCTCATCTGAGTACACTTTCTGAGTGCACTCTCAAATGTACTCTGAGCACGTCTTTGTAATAAGTTTATGTAAGAAACATTATGCTCATCTGAGTACACTTTCTGAGTGCACTCTCAAATATACTCTGAGCACGTCTTTGTAATAAGTTTATGTAAGAAACATTATGCTCATCTGAGTACACTTTCTGAGTGCACTCTCAAATGTACTCTGAGCACGTCTTTGTAATAAGTTTATGTAAGAAACATTATGCTCATCTGAGTACACTTTCTGAGTGCACTCTCAAATGTACTCTGAGCACGTCTTTGTAATAAGTTTATGTAAGAAACATTATGCTCCTCTGAGTACACTTTCTGAGTGCACTCTCAAATATACTCTGAGCACGTCTTTGTAATAAGTTTATGTAAGAAACATTGTGCTCATCTGAGTACACTTTCTGAGTGCACTCTCAAATGTACTCTGAGCACGTCTTTGTAATAAGTTTATGTAAGAAACATTATGCTCATCTGAGTACACTTTCTGAGTGCACTCTCAAATATACTCTAAGCACGTCTTTTTTACATGTCACATCCAATTGGATTATACTTAAATTCTCACACTTAACAAATATTTACTTACAAGA